TTTATTTATTTTAATTCCACCGTCTAGTAACTTGTAGGTTACTAGACGCTTTATTTATTTTAATTCCACTATTTAGTAACTTGTAGGTTACTAGACGCTTTATTTATTTTAATTTTACCGTTTAGTAACTTGTAGGTTACTAAATACTTTATTTATTTTAATTCTACTGTCTAGTAACTTGTAAGTTACTAAATGCTTTATTTATTTTAATTTTACTATCTAGTAACTTATAAGTTACTAGACGCTTTATTTATTTTAATTTTACTATTTAGTAACTTGTAGGTTACTAAATGCTTTATTTATTTTAATTCTACTATTTAGTAACTTGTAGGTTACTAGATGCTTTATTTATTTTAATTCTACTATTTAGTAACTTGTAGGTTACTGTCTAAAACGCTTTAATTATTATTATTTACTATTTTTTTTTCCTAATTTCGTAGCTTGCTGTTTGAAATAGGTTTACTTTTCTAAAATTTATATTTTAAATTTTTAAATAACTTTTTTACGCAATAAAAACTACAAAAAAAAAACTACTGCTTTTTAAGTACTTTGTTTCTATCTTTTTTGCTAACTTGCTTAGCTTAAGCAGTTAGCTTTTCTAATTTAAGTAGCTAATACTACTTATATTAAGTAAGTAGTTTTTTTAGCCTAAGTAGGTACCTGGAACGCCCTAAAAATTTAGGTAGGTATTTTTCTACTTAGTTTAAAGGGTTAGAGCCTTAAACTTATAATACTCTCCCTTTTTTTTACTGCAGACTTTGCTGCTTCTTAATAAACAAAAAAAGTTATATATTTTATATTTAACTAAACTAGCAGTAAGCTTACGCTTAGTAGCTTGTAATAATAAAGCTACTTAACTACTTATACAACTTAGCTAAATAACTAAATTATCTGCAAAAAATTTAATCCTGTGCACTATATAATTGCAATACGCTAGCTAGTAGCCCTAATTTTAATAAAACTGCTAATACTAGCTTAGTAAAATTTTAAGCTAAAGGCTTATTTGTATTTAACTAGTGCAGGCAGAAATTACTCTATTTTAGTATAAATTCTAATTTAAAAGTATTTAGCTATAATTTAGTAAATAGTAGCTTTGCAGTAATGCCTAGTTAAATAGCTACAAAAACTAATTATTTAAAACCGCGGTTCTTTTTGTACTAAGCAGTATTATTATTAAAGCAAAATTATTAATAAAGTAAAACTAATTTATTTTACAATAGTTTAAACTTAGCTTATATTTTCTATTAGTAGGTAAATAATCCAACGCTTACTAAATTCTGCTTTAGTATAATAGAAAGAGCTAATATTAAAGGATTAAAAAGCAACGTTGCTATAAACGCTTAGCTGCTACAAGCTAGTTATTTCTATAGTAACTTTTTTAGCACTTCTAGCCTTAAATTTCAAGAAACTAAAGAATTAATAAGCTATACTTTTATAGTTTATATTTACACTAAAAATTAAAATTAAAAAAACTTTTGCCTTTTTGCTCTACTAGAAATTTCTATTTTTTATAAGTCCTTTTTAGGATACCTGCGTTATAGTTTAATAAATATACTACTTTAGCTAAACTCTTTACTTAATAATATTTTCAACCTAAATTAGCTTACAAAAAACTTTAATACTAAAAATTAAGTAGTAAAGCTTAGCTTTGCTTTATTAAATAAATAAAAAAACTATAAAAGTAGTAGTATTTTACTAGCGCTAAAGCTTCTACCTATTCTACACTTCCTATGTTTTTTTATAATGTTAAACTAGAGTTAAGCTTAATAAGGTTTTTTTTTTCTGCTAATTTAGCTAAGCCCGTTCCCTTAGCTGTAGTTTTGCTAGATAGTAAATAGAAATAGTAGGAATTTTGTTAATCTATTTATGCGCGTTACTAATTAAATAACAAGGCATTTAACTACTTTAAAAAAGTTATAGTTATTTCTACTATTTACCCGCGCTTAGTTAAATCTCTTTACTTTAATATTTAAAGTACTAGGCAAAAATTATATTATATTAATACTACTTTCTAGCTATTATAATGCTATATTTTAATTAGACAGTTAGATTTCCCTTATTTGTACTAGTTCTAAGTTAATTATTAAATATATACTAAATAGCTAAAGCCTACTAAAAGTGCTTATACCCTAGTGCTAAAAGGTGCTTACTTTGCAGCTAGTGCCTTTTTGCGCTAGAAGTTTCTCCCTAAAGCTTAATATGCTTAACTTTTAGAGCTAATCCTTTTTTTAAAGTTATAAATTTATTTTGCTAATTTCTTTTATTTATATTATTTTATTAACTAGAAGCTTTTTACTTTAAAAATCTGCTGCAGTTATAAGTACAACCTAGCATAAAAACTATTTTTTTAAGTAAATTTTTAAAACTTATTAGGAGCGCACTAAATACTGCAAAAGTGCAGTACTTTTTTAGCTATTAAACTCTAGCTCTAAACAAACCAATTTTAGGGTAACAAACTATTAAAAAAAAAAGAAAACTTTTTTTAGAGCTTTTGCTAAAGTTTCTGCTTTTAGTTGCATTATTGCAGAAAATTTATATCTAAGTACTAGAATATTAACTAGCTTCCTTTTTAAGGGCGCAGCGCAAGCGCCAACATTAAAACAGAATTACTTTATTTTTTAAAATTAACTAACCTGTGTTTAACTACTGTTTATATAGAACTTTTCTTTACTTTAGTTTTTAAAATTTTTATTTAAGTATTTGCTACTACTACTAAAATCTGCACTAAAAGCTATTTAACTTAGAGTTACTTCTAAAGCTTTATTACAAGCTTTTACGCCTGCCTACTTGCTAGGGCTTAAATTTTGCCCTAGCAGCAGAGTATAAGTAATACGCTTAAGCGCTATTTATTTTTAGAACTAGTTTATTTAGTAAGTAAGTTATTATATACTTTTTAGCAAATTCTAATTTCTATAGCTACTGTCCTGCTGTCTAGATAAACTAATACTTTTTATAGTATTTAATAAGTGTATATTCTAGTACTTTAACCCTGCATTTAGTTTATCCTGCATTACTAGTTCTACTTACTAAAAATAGCCTACTAGTAATAGTATATTTAAGTATTTATATTTAATTAAGTAATAAAAACTTTTTACATATTTAAAGTTTAAAAATAAGTAAAAGTTGTTTTAACTTTTAGGCTTCTAATTATTCGCTTTACTTTATAAAACTAAATATATTACTACTATCCTAAAAGAAATTTTAATAGGAACTAGCTACTAAATAGTTTAATTAATTTTTCGCCCCTATGCCCAAATTTAATAATTAATTTGCATATTAGAACTACTGCAAGCTTTTACTAGAGTTTCTTCTAGCTTTACCCTATTTAAGCATAGTTTACTATTTTTTAAGTTTTAATAGCTATACTCTTACTTAAATCTATTTAAAAATATTAGGATTAGTTAATAGTGCACCCTAAAAGAAATCTTATTTCTATTTACTTTTATTACGCGTTTAAGCTTAATACCTAAATACTTGCATAAATATTAAACTCTTTAGTCTGTATTTTAAAACAGGCTGCTTATAGCTATTATACTAGCATTCTAGTAAATGCGCGGACTTTAGTTTAGGCTAGTTATATATTACTTTTTTTATAAAGCTTCTCTAAAAAAAAGTATATAATAGAAGCCTTTATCTAACTGCCTAAACTAATACTAGCCTGCCTGCAGAAAAGTATACTAAGTAAAAGCCTAAATAAGCAATTATAGGCAAGTTTAGCTATAAGCGCTTTTTTTTTAACAATTTTATATACTATTTAATTCTCTTTTTAAAGTGCTTTTTATTTTTTAATTACTCTACTTGTGCGCTATTAGTCTCTAGCTAGTATTTAATTTTAAAAAAAATTTACCTCTTATTTAAAGCTGCATTTCTAAATAACTTAATTTATTAAAAAAGTTTTATATAGCAAAAGTTAGCAACTATATACGAGATTCTTACCCTTTATAATATTCTATTCTAAAAAACTTAAACTGCTACTAATACTAAAGTGCTTTCTGCAAATTATAATTTAAACTCTAAAAAAACTAGATTTTAAATTTAAGCTAATGCCGCTTTACTCGCTGTTACTAGAGCAATTCCTATTAATTTCTTTTCCTCTACTTATTAATATACTTAAGTTTAGTAGGTATTCTTACCTAATTTAAAGTTAAAAGCAAAAGTATAAGCTTTATAAATGCAAGTATTTAAGCTAAAAAACGCAAAATATACTGCGCTTTAAAGTAAGTATACTAGCTACTAATTACTTTAAAGCAAGTCCTGCGCATAAAATAGAAATAAATACTTAATACTAAGTAAAGCTTAAAAATACAAATAACGCTTAAATAAGCATGCTCTATAAAATACTAAGAGGCGCAATGTGCGTTTAAAAATTCAATAATTTACTAAATTCTGCAATTTACACTACTTTTCGCATTTTGCTGCATTCTTCATTAATACTAGAACTAAAAAATCCATTATTAAAAGTTGTAATTATTATGTATTTTCTAATGCTAATTGCAATTACAAAAAGTTTTTATAGTATTTTATTAGCAGGCAGAGCCTGCTAAGGAAATAAATAGTATGCAAAAAATAAGAATTTAGACAAAAACTAAAGTTTCCCTAAAAATTAGTAATAATCCTTCTGCAGGTTTACTTATAGAAACTTTATTATAACTTTTACTTTCTTTAAATAACTAAATTTAATAAACTTTTTAATTTAAAATAATTATTACTAACTTCTCTAAGCCAGTCTAAAGGCCTCACTAAGCTATTTAATTAGTAGTAGTAATAGGCGGTGTGTACAAAGAGCAGAGATATAATTAATATATACTAATAATATACGCTTACTAAGCATTTTTTATTAAAAAGCAATAATTGCAATACTCTATTTTTAGTACAATAGAGTTTAACAAAATTACCCAAACTTTTTAGCTAAAATAAAAAACTTATTAGCTCTATTAGTATAGCGCGCGTATAGCCTAAAATATTTAAAAGTATTATAAACTTATTATTGCTTTAAACTTCTATTAGCTTAAACTAATAGTTTTTCTAAAAAGCTAGCAACTAGCTAAAGCTAGCCTAGCTATTTAGTAAGTTAAAATTTTGTTTATTATTGCAATTAAGCAAATAAATTACTTTACTAACTAAAAACGGCCATGCACTACTACCTAAAAAATTAAAAAAAAAGCTCTTAATCTATTAATTTTTATTTTATCTAAACTTAATAAGTTTCCTTATATTAAGTTAAATTAAGCCGCAGGCTCTATACCTAGTAGTGCTTTTTTATTAATTTTTTTAAGTTTTAGCCTTGCGACTATACTCCCCCTAAAACTTAAAAATTTTAATTTTTTATAAAGTACTAAGCGAGTTAAAAAAAAGAATATTGCCTAATCTCTAATTAGTATAGTTTATAGTTAAGACTATAATAGTATCTAATTATCTTTAATCCCCTAATTTTTATTTACTAATTAATAAAAATATCCTTAGTAAATACTTTTGCAGTAGTTAGTTTTTAATAAATCCAAAAATTTTACTTCTAATAATTAAATACTAATGCCCCCAACTGTCCCTATTAATTATTATAGTAGTCCTAGAAACTAATAAAATAAAACTACATATTTTATTTTATTATTTTATACTAATATATTTAAGCAAAGGCTTGCTTTAAATACTCTAATTTTTTTAAAGTAAAAGTTTTAGTCTCTAATACACTTAGTAAAAAGTATAAAGTTTTCTAAAAAAAAGGCCTAGCTAAACAAGTACACACAGTAAAGCAAACCTACTAGCTAAATTTAAGTTTTAATTACAAGCTTTTTAACTGCAACAATTTTAATATATACTATTAAAGCTAGAATTACCGCAGCTACTAGCACTAGACTTACCCTCTAATTATTTCTTATTAAAAAGTTTAAATTATACTTATTCTAATTACAAGACCTAAAAAAGCCTTGTATTAGTATTTATTATTACTACTTTTTTATATTAGGATTAGGTAATTTGCGCGCCTACTACTTTTTTTAGATATAATAGCTATTTCTTAGGCTTTCTTTTTAGAATTAAATTCTAATTCCCTGTTACTTATTAAAACTATAGTAAGCTAATACTTTACTATTAAAAGTTAATAGGGCAGAAATTTAAATAAACTGTTGCCGGCGCAAAGCTATGCAATCTATAAAGTTATTATAAATTACTAAAAAACTCTAAAGGGTATTAGTTTTTTATTTAATAAATATACCCCTTCTAAAATTGGGGTTTTTAGCATATATTAGCTCTAGAATTACTATAATTATCTAAGTAGTAAAGTACTATTAAATAAAGAATAACTAATTTAATAAGCTATTTACAATTTTACAGTATAATTGCTTATACTTAAATATATATAGCTTAATTTTTAAAATAAGTATATAACTACTAGCAGAATTAACTAGGTAATAATTTTATACCTAGGCGCACAAGGCACACAGGTACAAACCCCCTAGAAAAAGTAAAAAGTACTAAACAAGTAGCTATATAAAGCAGCGCTAGCTATTTACTACAAAAGTATATAGAGTACTAATGCTATAAGCAACTAATTTAGTTGCTTTTACTAAGTTCCCTAAAGTGCAGTCTAAAATAGGGCATTACTAGTATTACTGCTAAAAAAAACCCGCACTATACGCACTTTAAAAAAAAAAAATTTACAATTACTTTATTACGTATACAAGCGCAAATATTTAGTAAAAGTATTTTTAGAAATTTAATAAATAGTTAGCAAAGCTAGCTATTTACAAACCCCAAATAGTGCTTATTTATAAAAATAAACAGGACTTTAGATATTAACTGCAAGAATAGGTGCAGCGCTAAGGCGTTACTTTGTAATATAAGCTTTAGCTAACCTAATTAAGCAGAAAATAGCTACCTAGCCCCTAATATTGTACTAACTAGAGTAAATATTACTAGTTAATATTTAGGAAATAGAGTATACAAATACAGAACTATAAATATACAAACTACTTACTAATAATGCTTAGGCTATTACTAAAAAGCAGTAGAAAATAAATATAAGTAAAATAGTTTTTAGGCTACTTTTCTTATACTATATACTCTACTAATAGCTAGCTTTTAGGTATAAAGAGCCCCTAAAAGCCTCTTCTATATACAAAACTAATAAGTACTAGTACGCTTATTAATAAAGCACTTTGCAGCAAGCAAATTAACTTAATTAAAAGCTTATTATTGCTACTACAAAAAAGGAAAAATAGGTAAAAAAACTAGCATACTAGCTCTATCTTTAGGCAGAAGCCTATTTTATACTCTACTACTAACTATTATTTATGCTTTAACGCTTTTAAAGCTTACTACAAATAGTAGTAAATAAAATAATTATATTTTTAGAAACCTTAACTGCCTTCCTTATATAGTATATAGAGGTAATTAACTCTAGTTTTTGCATTGCAGAGTAAATGTAGCAGAAAATATATTAAAGCTTAAGTTTTTACTAGCAAAATTGCAAAAATATACGCAGCGCTATATAAACTATAAACCTATATTTATTAACTTATGCAATATAGTTGTTTTTGTTTTCTAGAAAATATTTTTAGTTATAAGGAGTATAAAGAAAGTAGGTATATAATAGTAGTAATAACTATAAGCTTAAATTAATATATAATAGCGTTCTAGTAGTAGTTCTAAATACTATTATTATATAATTATTAAGTTTAGCTAGAAAAGAGTAGAAATACAAATAATAATAATTTTATAAGTAATAAATATATATAAAGAAAAAAAAAAGAAAAAAAGTAAATAGGCCTTTACTAGTAAATGTAGTATATAATTAAAGTAGAATATTTATATAAAGTATTTAACTTAAATTTAGAAATAGCAAAGTATTAAAAATAA